ATGGATACAATCCGAGTAGTTCTTGTCGTTTCCATGTAGAACTCTAGTTGTCTTTCCTTATCCGAAACTCCATCCATATCCGAAGGTTGTTTCCGTATAAGACATAGTATGTGGTGGGTCCTACCGAGATTTAGTCAACTACTGTTAGGCATGTGGTATCCATAACCCTAGGTACGTGGTATCCATTACCCTGACAAATATATTGACGGCTTACACATTATGAAAACATGTTAATTGATGTGCACACTGGTGATGGTTTTACAGTAAAACTGAGTAGCTGGGTGGGTACTTACAATAAAATGATTTATGGGGTAGAATATCAAACTTAGATTTATATGTGGCTTTTGCAGATTTGTCTACATTTAAATAAAAAGAGAGAGTACTTACATGTCGGCACATCTCTGCCACTTGTCACATTCCTGTACTTCCTTTGCACGTACCTCCGTTTGACAAGATCTTTCTCAATCCTCTCCCAACATTGTTTAACACTACAGAATACAGTTCCACACGAGCTTACACTTGACACGACTAGTAAAAGAGTGTAAAGTAGCAACACACGACGAGTAATTGCTAGACACGTACAGTACAATACAACTTCGATCGCTGTTTGCAACGAGGTAAAAACAAAAGAAAAAAAAAAGAAAACGCGAGGCCCACATGCACCTCAAGCATCCCAAAGCACAAGGTGGCAGCAGTGGCATTGGAGAAGCAGCTCGAGAGAGAGGGAGAAAAGGAGGAGGAAACTTGGGGCAAGAGGGAGGCGGCAGGAAGGGACGGACGAGACGGAGTCCATGGACGCGCACCGAGAAATGTACGTATAAAAGATGTGTGGGTGCGGTGCGGCGATCGATCGGGTCCGTGTGGGTTGGCCTTGATGGGGGGACAAAATTATGGAGTTCGATGCCACCGAGATATCATCCGTCGATCTGCTCTATCCGATCCATTCGATCGTCGAGGGACCAAAGCTTCCGTGGTTGTGCACCTTGTGGTGACAGGCTGACAGCTGCACTACTACCTCCATTCTTTAGAAGAGAAAAAAAAATGATGTCCTACAATTTATTTTAGATAATTAGATGACATTCCTACAATAAGTACGGTGAAATCTCAAGCTCCTAAATTGTTACTCCCTCCATCTCACAATGTAAGTCATTCTAGTATTTCTCACATTCATATTAATTGATGTTAATCAATCTAGATATACATATCTATCTAGATTCATTAACATCAATATGAATGTGAAAAATATTAGAATGACTTACATTGTGAAACGGAGGAAGTAGTACGTTAAAATATGTATATAATTTGATACATGAAAATGATACTAATAGATTTGTCATAAAACACGTTCATTTGGTTGTAATTTTAATGTTTTATACATCTACAGTCCCTCAAGTTCCATGTTTCCTTCGTTGATGCGTTTTTTGAGTTGGATGAAAATTTCTATTGTTGAAGAGATTTGTGAATGTATTAGACCAACATAAGAGAAATGTTGATTTTAAAGGTACTCCTATTTCAAACTACTTTTGTCTGAAGTCAAACATTTTAATTTTTGCCATCCATTCCTAAAAACTCATATAGTTTAACATAATAAGATTTATGTATTTATTCACTATAAAAATATTTTCATAATTCATATATGATTAAACTAAACAGATTTTTTTAAAAATTAATGGTTAAAACAGTCATATTTAACTTAGGACAAAGCTAGAACGGCGAATAATTTAAAACGAAGAACGTATATAATACATGCATTAATTATTTATTGGTAAATAAGTTTATGTCCAAAACACTAGAAAATATGGAAGTGGAGGAGTAACTAGAAAGAAAAAGTAACGATGAAACACATACATCAAAGTTTGTGTCAATGTTCAAAACAATAAATGAAAAAGAAAACCAGTTCTGTTAAAAAAAGATATTTCTATCTATGCATTCAGATAAATACATATATCTTCTTGGGACGGAGATAGTGGTAGTTTTTTTTACTACTTTTTATTCTTTCGAAACATAAATATTTGATGATGTTCAGAATAAGATTGGATCAAACTTTTAAGGTTTCGACCATGCTCCAAAGAAGCAAATAATTTTTTAACCGGTTCAGTTTCTGTAGGAATCAGATGGAAATCACATGCACCAAAAGGAAGCAAAATATATACTTTCACAAATAATGATGCAGCGTGTTTTGGTTCAATCTCAATCTTCATATGGAATCATAACTAAAACTGAAAAAATATCTTGTTTGTAACTTGTTTGTGAGAATATTTTAGTGCAAAGACCACTAATATATTTTTTAACAAAGACGCCCACAAAGACATCTTATACCTGACTTATATAAAGGAAAGCATGAACAAGTAAAATAATACCATACCAAAAAGAAATACAATCATAATTGACAAAGTCTTCTTGTCCACCATATCCATTACAACCATGTCCACTCTACGTCGTTCCACATCCCTGTCTATCCTATCACCGATAAAGATAAGAAGATAAATAGAGAATCAAGCAAAATCTAGAAGGACCCTACTCACACGGTGACAATTGAAGAACATACTGCGAAAAAGTGGTATGATTTTCACGGTACGGCACGGACAAGCCATAAGGGATTTTAGCCATAGTGGTTAGCTGGGATTGTCTCATAATTTTCGTGGAAACGGTGTGTTTACTTGAAAAAAAAAAGTCTGAGCAGTACAAAAAATGAGCTTGCATGATGAATTTTGACAAATATTTTCTCTCGAAATAATTTGACAAATACTGGAATTCACACCAAGCTATGTATGTATGCGTAACTTATGTTTGTTTGTCTTCGTTCCAAAATTTGCCATTACAACAAAGGATGTTTTGCTACTTATGTACCATGCATAGCAAGAAATCAATGTATGTTCATGTAGCATTTTGGTTTATCCCTCACTTGGTTGTATGTGCATTCGTGGGGCTAACTCCCTTTATTATTTTTGTTGCGTGATTATTATCCTCTTAGCTCGATCAGCTTAATCAAAACCGGTTTGTTGTTTCCCATGAACACCGGCATGTGCCCATGATATCCTCATTCCCCTTCCCCATCACCCTACAAAATCTACATGTTTGACCGGTTTGACCCGATTTCATCTATGGGTTTGACCGGTCAAACCTCGGTCATCTCTCACTAATCTATGATTTTTACTTACCATTTCAACTAAATAACCAAGTTCTTGGGACCAGGTTAATTGAAGCAGATATGCTATGGTAGTATATGTTTGCTAACCATGGATGTGTGAGCTGGTTGTGTGGTTTGCAACTATGCAATGGCCGGTGGCCAATGCTGCTGTCACTTGCTACAAAATTTTTTTGGGCAAGATTTGGGGTGAGATTGGATTGCTGGAATGTGGCCAGGCAAGGCTTCTGCTCCTGCCTTGGACTTTGGGGTTTGGACACCGGTTTTCATGTTGGGAAATGATCCCTGAAAAGTTGGGCTGCCTTGGCTGCTCATCCTTTCGGCGCGTTCCAGCCGATCGACCATCCTTGGCCTCTCGTGATCGTTTTTCATCTCACATGATTTGATTTGGTGCCTGGCTCGTTGCTGTATCATGTAAGAGCAAGTTTAATAGTATAGTCAACTGCTAGTTCCAAATTATTTATAGCTAATTTAATAGCCAATTCATACAATAGTAACTTACTACGTTATTAATATATGGTCCCATCTATCATACATATATTGTGTCTTGAAGTCCGTACTGCAGCTGGCTACAGATCTGTAGCCCGCTGTTATTCTCTCTTATCTTTTATCTCTTTAAAATATGTTTATAGCTGACTTATAGTTTGCTATTGTACCTGCTATGAGGGGAGATGATTAAGACATGTGAAATAAGTTTTTTTTTTAATCCTTGAGACAATGGAAGAGGCAAGATACCTTTGACATCCTGAAAAACTATACTAGATGTCAATAAACAATCTAAAAGAAACGATTTAAGGTGTAAGTGTCATCTATGGTTCACACTAGTAAAGAACTCCGAATACAATTAATGTTGTACGACACAATAATATATCGCAAAATTTTACCATGGAAATAACGAGAAATGATGAAGACAACTTCTCTGTAAGCTTTTATCTTTTCTTATTAACAGTATACTATCTCTTGCCCAACATTACAAAAAGAAATTTGGGGGAATTTTGGGACACGATTTTTATACACTTCGCCAAGCGCCTAGCTTCTAGAGTACCAGAGCACCGGATATTCTCGTTGTCGTTGTTGTGATGCCATATGGGCTACAGGGCTAGTGCAGGGTTTCCCTGCATTGTTTCAGGCATAGGTCAAAGCTAAGACCACAACAAAGAACATGGGATGAGTTAGAGAATTGAGGCGATGGAAGGTTCGACTTGCAAGGTTGACCTAGCCCTAGGGGCCTATTCGCATAGGCAGACAAGATCGCACGATTTGGGCCGACATTCTTCAGAGTGGACTAAACGTTTGCCTGCTCTGATTTAGGATGGTCATCCTCAAGTTCAGGGATGGTGTCTACCAGCAGGCTGAGCTAGTAGTGGTGAGCTGCTCAGATTTTAGCTCCCCTTTGATTTGAAAAATGCATCCAAATTCCAAGCATGCAGACAAAGGCATGAACAAAGAGGAATCTGATAATTCTACTTGATCATTGGGTCTACGGCTGATAGAACGGCATATAAGCAACCAATAAATAATCTGTCAGTAAAACTTTTAAATCTATATTATTCACGGTTTAAAAGCTAATTCTAGAAAATAAAATACGATGAACCCCCCACCCCTAAAAGAATCAACTTGTTTTAAAATTCAAAATTTGACAATTGCTCATAAGCTGAAAAGCAAATGATATTGTATAGGAATCATTTTTGAAATTTAGACTGTTGGAATACTAAGAGGCCTAGTAGAAGAGAAGTGTTGGGAAAATTGAGCCCAGATGGCACACATGTAACAATTAAGAGAGATCATCCGACGAACTCTTCCCTTGGGAAAATGCTTGGTGTTACTGCCAAAATACATGTCAACCAGAACATTTCACCTCAAATTGCCGCACTGGGTATTGATCACAGTAAATTATCGTCATTAATTTGAAGTCGTGTGTAGTAGCTCTATAGCTCAAAATCCAATTTTCATAGCCTCTTGCACCTGATTATTTTGGTTGGCTGGAAGCCACGGTTGACAGTTGACACATCACCAAGGCGCCATGAGTATTCACACCAAATTGCACGAACAAATAAACCTATTCTAACAACGTGGTGCTGCGAGGCCTTTTTCACAATTTGATTTACACGAGAAATAAGATAAGTTACATTTTTAAGCAACAACCTTTGTTAGGGCATCAACCACTTGCTGTCGAGTGGGCAATGCCGGGATGGCTCCTCTCTCTGTCACAGTGAGAGCCCCACAGACATTTGCAAACTTTAGAGCTTCTTTCAATCGGCCTTCATCCTATTTAAACCACACAAGAAGAATTAGAGAAGCATTAAAGCTCCAAGTAGCTGATCAATGATATGCTAGCTTGAAAGCAATGGTGTAGCTCATTAACATGAGACAAGCACAATCAATTCAGATACTCGAAGTACACTTTTTTCTTAATGAAATGAAGCGCGTGCCTTTTGCGTTTTCGAGAAAAAAAAAACTCGAAATACACATTTGGGCTATATCAATTTGCTTCCTTTTCAGTTGAAAATCATTTCATACATCCTCATTCTACTGCCACAGAGAACAAAACAAATTGAATGGAAATTCATGTTTATTTCTGTTGTGAACATACCTGCAGCAGTGAAAAATCAACAGATAGCTGGGATAGTATTCCAGCAACAAAGGCATCTCCAGCACCAGTGGTGTCAACAGCATTCACCTTAAGTCCACCAACTCTCCCATTAAATTCCTGTTATTTTACAAGAAACATTAACATTAGGCACAATTTATACAGCCTTAGTTACACAATAAGGTTCCAAGTGACTGCAAGAAAAAATAAACGAGATAGTAATCCTATATACCTATAAAGTTCATCCCCACTAAGTGTAATTAATGCTAATTCTCTCTTCTCTCATGAAGCCACATCACCTCAATTGTTTTTAGCTTTTGGATGATTCATCAAAGGTGTAAATTGCATCTCTTCACATCACCTCAATTGTTTATAGCTTTCGGATGATTCATAAAGGGTATAAATTACATCTCTTCCCCCCAAAAGGCACATCATACAACCCAATCATTTATAACCTATGGATAATTGATAAAGGTAAAAAATATATAAACACATGAAAAAAATCGTATAGTAGGTAAGAAAGAAAATTTTAGAAGTAATATCTACTATATTATCACATAATTCTCCCGCAGCAACGCGCCGGGTACCCATCTAGTAAAACAATAATCTCCAACCTCCAAGTGTGACCATGTTCATCACAAATACTCCCTTCGGTTTTTAATGTTTGACGCTGTTGACTTTTACATATATGTTTGACATTCATCTTATTTAAAAATTTTGTGAAAATATGTAAAAATATAAGTCATGCTTGAAGTAGTTTTAATGATCACAACAAAATAAATGATAATTACTTAATTGTTTTGAATAAGATGAATGGTTAAACATATATCCAAAAGTCAACGGCATCAAACTTTAAAAGCCGGAGGGAGTAAATATAGAATATTTCTATTATATCAGAAATGATTATATCAAATCCTGCATTACTTTTGTGAGGAAATAAGTGTGCTTAAGGAGATAATAGAAAGGGCGTCAATAACAATTTTTTACTGACATAAATTGGTTAAGAAACAATGCGAATGTTAGTCATATACAGCTGATAGACAGACAAAATTACCTTAGAATAATATCTACAACCTTCTGGACCTTCAGTGACAAGAAGCAGTTTCAGATTTGGGTGCATGAGTTTTTTTATTACAGAATCATCATATGGATCCTCCCCTTTCGTCAAAAAGGAAACCTCCTCTTCACTAATCTGTTTCAAAAGGAATGCACAATCAAATCAAGCACTTCTTTAACCTATAAATTGCTTTCCCTGTTAAACTTTACCTTGATAACATCAGCAGTTTCCCATATGCTCAGTATACCATCTCTAGCATCATCAGCTGATGACCACAGTGGGAGCCTCAAATTCGGATCATACGAAATTAGCACCCCAGCATCTTTAGCAGCTTTGGCAGCTGCAATATGTGCAGTTTTACATGGTTCAGTTATAAGACTTATCGAGCCATGGTGGAAGATTTTTGCCTAGCATGGTTACCATGATTAAGTTAGCTCCAGTTTGACACAAAATATTACATGATTATTGAAGGCACTAGCAGTAGATAGGGCATAGGCATAATATCATTCACCAAGGTGTACCTTTCTGATAAGATCAAGGTCAAGTTCCTTTTCTTCAAGCAGCATATCTGCACTTGGATTGCGATAAAACATAAATTCACGTTCACCATCATTTCGGAGTGTCACAAATGCCAAAGCTGTTCTAGCATGCGCATCAAATAGCAATCCTTGATTGTTTACATTATTTTCCTTCAGTATGTCAGCTAGCATGTAACCAAATTCATCATCGCCAACCTGCATGTGTTGAATATTGAACAGCGTGTAGTGAAAAAAAAGCCTCTTGATTTTGAAGCTAAAACTGCTGGGCTGAAAAACCTAACAGCAATACAAATAAGTGCATTTTGAAATGAAGCCAACTCTTAATAGGAATGGAACATAATGGTTTTGAGCACCAGGCCCGTATATACAGTAGTTCAGGGTGAGCTACTGAAAAGGGCCCCCAAATTTTACTTAAGTAGTAATGGTATGATTAGGTATAAGTAGCAGCTAGCAATCAACAGCAATACGGCATTGACTCCATGTCCTTCCCAAGGTATCCAGAGCTTCTCACACCTCTGCAGCTCTCTTCCTTCTCAACAGTTAGTCAATTGATTTCTTGATTTCTTCCACCGTTCCCCATGAAAATCATTTCCTCTCCCTCCTATTTTTTCTCCTACCAATTAAAATCACAGAGACAATGAATTCACTCCCTCCCATCTCATCTACCTTTTCTATGTTTCTTCCTAACTCAAATTGGGGCTGCAATGATTCGCAATGACAATGAAAATTGATGACTTTTTTTCCTATTTCTTATTCTTGAAAAAATGTTTCAGTCATATAATGAAGCAAAAATATATTTAGTTATTAGCATTTACCAAATGTAGGGCCTCATTTTGTATTTATCACCAGGGCCTCTAATTCTTAGGTACGGGACTGTTGAGCACACTGCACTTTTGGCATCCAAATTCTAAAAATATCTTCCTAGGGCAGCAGATTTGCAAAATTACTCACATAAACCCATCATCTAGTTCAAGTTCCAAAATGTGCCAACATAGAAGTGTTTGCTGGCTCTTTTGATGTTTTCCTCTGATTCGTTTAGCTTGGGTAACTCTCAAGGTGATGCTCCTATGTCCTAGTCAGTGATAGAAGCGTTTGCTCTACTGAGAGGTACAAGCATGACAGAAGAACCAGAGATGACATGACCTGCTACAATATGCAGAAAGTAAATCGACAGGCTTCCACAAATACAATTCCTAAAAGCCAGAAAACATATGATACAATTGGTTGGCTGCCTGCATTCTTAACCCTGACCAGACAGACACAAAAGGATGCCTCGGGCGGTTGGACCTGCCTTGGCAGGAAAAACGAATTTGCACATCTTTTCCATAGCTTGGCTGGGCTGATGTTGTACGTGAGTACATGTGATTCTTTCATATGCCTCCCAGAATACACGTCTTTTATTTCTTATCTACTGCACATGCTTGCTCCCTCCCTCATCTCTGACTCTGAAGCTGCTGTTCTTCTTCATTTTCTTGGCTACAACTTCATTTCAGCAGAAACTCTTGATCTCCCAAACACCAAGGCACATTCCATTTTACTGTGGCATAGTTGAGAGGATCTTCACCCAGATGGCTTTGTCCTGCTCTATTGTGGTATCTTGCGTTGTCTCCTACTGCTCTTATTTGCTTTCTTGAGCAAGAAAGAAGATTGAATTTGTACAATCTAAACTGTGTCCTTTTTCAGGCCCCAAACAGAAAGTGCAATAGCACAAATACGCATGTAGCACGCATAAACAGGAAGAAAGTTTGCAAATTACCTTTCCAATGAAAGCCGATGACCCACCAAGACGAGCAATTCCAACTGCAACATTAGCAGGTGCGCCCCCTGGAGCCTTCTTGAAGGCTGACGCTTCTGCTAATGATACACCATTGACAGTTGGGACGAAGTCAATGAGCAATTCTCCAAAGCACACCACATGTGGAGAACTGCTTGTTCCAGGGGTGCCATCACTGTTTGAAACTGCTTTGGTACAAACTGTCATTGAAAATTGAACAAAAGCAAGAAATCGTCAGATTCACTATCTAAAAGGACCTTCAAACTAAATATCTCTAAGTTCACTAGATGTTAAATGAGTGCAACTGGCACATAATGTCACAGAAGATGGCTATGGCGAGTAGGGTGACATAGAGTGCAACCCACTTCAGTCACGAGAAAAAAAAATTCAAGTACTTGTAAGAGGAGTACAAAATTATGCTATACTGCTACTCCCTCCGTTTCAGGTTATAAGTCGTTTTGACTTTGGTCAAAGTCAAACTATTTCAAGTTTGACTATGTTTATAGACAAATATAGTAATATTTACAATACTAAATTAGTTTCATCAAATCAATAATTGAATATATTTTCATAATAAATTTGTCTTAGGTTGAAAATATTACTATTTTTTTCTACAAATTTGGTCAAACTTAAAGCATTTTGACTTTGACCAAAGTCAAAATGACTTATAACCTAAAACGGAGGGAGTATATGTTTTGGCACAGATTACCAGTTTACCACAAAAAATGAGTCCAACACCTTCCTTGACAACCCCAATCCCAATCAGCATTACTACAATACAGTTAAGTTAATTGTGTCAACGCCATAAAATAGAAGCCTTCCGTAGTTGACATAACAGTTATAATCACCAAAAATAGCCTCAGTTTTCACACTAAGCATAATTTGTCATCACCGCATAACTAAATTTTTTTTCACATGTTCCACAAAAAACTAAAAAATGTTCACATGCATGATGCCCCAGCCTACATTTTCATCGGTGCACATTATCCAAGCGTGATATTGGCACCAACTCCAACCGTCACTAGGATTCAACTTCCTGATCAGTCAAAACTGTTAGTAAAAGCACACCAAGTTCATGTGCGAACGGAGTTGCATTTCTCACAGACGACAAAGCCATGAGCTCGCGGCCGCCACACACCAAGCTCACATTTCAACTACGCCGGCCGCGGTGTCCCATCCCTTGGGCAAGGCTTGGCTCCCGGAGCGAGCTATCGAATCAACGAAACCGTCCCCAAATCAACTCCCGCAGCCAGCCAAACCCGAGGTCCGAACCCCCCCAAACAGAGAGCGGTGCCAGTCGCAGTACCTGCGGATGACGTCCGGAGCGGCGCGAGGAACGCGGCGTTGCGGGGCCGCGCGGCCGCGGCGGGGAGGGAGCAGCGGAAGATGCGGCCGGCGCTGAAGCAGGGACGACGTGAGGTGGTGGGGAGCCGGCCCGCGGTGAAGGGCGGCGGCGGCGGCGGCGCGGCGTGGAGAGCCATCCCGGAGTTGCGGATGCGGCGGTGGCGTAGCCGAGAATATGGCCGCCGCGGGGCGGCGGAACCGATCGAGGAGGCGGAGGCGGCGAGGTGGGGGGGGGGGGGGGGGGGGGAAGCAGGAAGCTAGGCGAGCGGCTGAGCTCCGCCGCTGCGAGAGAGTGTGGACTAAAACGGAGGTCAAAAGCTGACAAAGCTGGTGCGGATCTTTCGTGGGAGAGGAGCAGAACGCCGGCCGTCTGATTGTCCTGTACTACATACCAAACGGACGGTGCAGATTGCACGTGTCAAGAAAAATTCATACGCACTCTTGAGAATCAGGAGATCTAGCTTTTAATTTATTTTCTAAATACTATAATTATAGCTTCTTAAATCTTAGATGAAAAGTTAAACGGTTAGAAAAGGAAGCTAGAGATGTTATAAGCTCCTCCCAACAGGTCTGAGGCACAATCAAAAAGATTTTGAATTTTATCCTCCATCTCAAAAAAATATTAGAATGTGTCATATTCAATACTATTTGCTTATATTTTGGTTAGTATATATTTGTGGTATTAGAATATTGTCCTATCTAATATTAGGTGTTTATGTTTTGGGACGGAAGGTGGTAGATTTTAAGAATAATTTGTGTGTTTCTTCCCTTTTATTAAGCATATATACACGAGAAGAGAATCATCAAGCAATAAAAGCGACGAAGGAACCTTGAAAGTTGGTCTTACGGAAAATGAAATAAATCTGAAATTAAAATCAGCATTTTGGATTATAATGCAAGGACTTGCCAAGCTGGGCCTAATTTGGACTAAGCACAACTAACTAACTATACCCCCATCTATATCAGCCCACGAAATGCGCAAGTACGATGGAACATTTGCATTAGCCTTTTACTTATACAGCACTAGAAAATCAGCTCAAGTTCTACCTATCCAGAAAAAAATTAAGCCTGATTCCACCATTTTAGAGCCGGCATTACATGATCTGCACCGCAGCGTGTAAGTTTATAGGATTTCTACGTTGGTTTCGGACAAAAAAAAATTATAAGAGTACCTAGCATAACACTTCCGTTATTTTAGAATACTAACTTCTTATTATAGATCTGGACGCTAAGAGTTACTATCTCTATTCTAAAACATAATTACTTCTAGCTCTATATCTAAATATAAAAGAGTATGTTTAGCTATGTAGTTGGAAGCTATATTTTAAGATAGACATAGTATTTTCTTTTAGGGGCAATTGTAAATTTACCGCTAATTTGAATCGTTATTACAAGACTGCCACTAGAAAATTGTAAAAATATCACTGGAACTGTCATTCGAGTTTCTTTTAAGACGGAGGAAGCAATTCTCAATTGAGTCCAGTGCAAACCGTGTAACAAAATCCTCAAATACATCTGCTGAGCAAAACATCCCTTAGCTAGCAAAGTTGAGACATCACTCATGGTTCAGCAACAGCCGTAACCTCCTCTCCTCTCGGTTGGCATGTTCGACCGTGCCACTCCCGGTCGGCCACACACACAAGTGCTTCCTAGGAAGTGGGCAACATGCTCCGATGCTCCACCAGCCAGTGGACTGGATTGCTCCGTTTCGTATCAGCTCCGGCCTGGCCGCTTTTCCAGCTCACCGGTCGACGAGCACGTACGTATTACGGATGAAAATGGACATGGTAATTCCCCACGGATCAAGGATCGTGCAATTGTCTTTTTTTAACCTTTTACTACTAACATGTTTATACTTTACAATGGGTTAAACTCATATATGATGGGTGTATTTTTCAATATAGACCAGACCATATGATTAGAGATTAACTGGTAAGTGGATTAAAGATAAAACACGGTAGTAAGCTGGTGATCACACAGAGAGAGGGCGGAAGGAGGATGATTCTACTCAAATACTCCCTCCGTTTCCGAATATTTAACACCGTTGACTTTTTATTACGTGTTTGGCCATTCATCTTATTTAAAAAATTTAAGTAATTATTTATTCTTTTCATATCATTTGATTCATTGTTAAATATACTTTCATGTACACATATAGTTTTACATATTTCACAAATTTTTTTAATAAGACGAACGGTCAAACATGTGCTAAAAAGTCAACGGTGTCAAACATTTTGAAACGGAGGGAATAGTATAGATTTTAGCTACATATAGAATCTGAATATTCTAATTTATTTCAGTAGTAGGCTATAGTCATCACCAAATAGTTTAAGGAACTCCATAAATAAAGAAATTCTTGACCAATCGAGAGAATCATCGTATTGTTTCTGGTCGTTTTCATCCTTTACTACATGTCCCTGGCTTTGTCACTTCGGATGCTCCCCGCTTGCCAAGCCTCATCAGCGAACAACTAGCATGTCATATTGTCATCAACCTGTTGTACAAGTTGTATTATACTGGGCTAATGCATATCCTTTCTGCTTGTTGTGTCACACAAACTTAGACAATGCTTTATCTTGCTGACAATATCAGATTTGAGACCTCATGGAGTCATGGTGTGACAAGTTACAATTTGTTAGGTGTTGTCACCAACTCACTACTCCTATTGGTTTAGAAGACAAGTGTTGAGACAACCGGTCTACTTTCAGATTATAGAATAAAATTACCCGAATCTCTTTACTCAGTGACGGATACAGGAAGAAATAGCAGGAGGTCTGAACAAACTAGAACAAAGCTACAGCCCCCCTCCCATCCACGTATAGCAAAAAAAAAATGTGTGAGCTCACGCTAGTAGTGAAGACTCGAGCCTCCACCGTCCTCATATTGGATTTGTCTCTACTCATAGTTATGTCTTATTAGTACGTGATTACATGGGATTTAAAACTCTTAACTATGTCTACTGGTTTCTTATATATTATCTACATAATTATAAAAAAATAACAAGATATATTAATATCACTATATAAACATGTAAATTCAAATTCAAGATCTATATGTTACAACAAAATTAACAAACTAAACTCTACTATTATATACATATTCACAGTTATTCTTTTAACTATTAAATTTGAACTTGCATATTATACCACATATTAATTTTTATATATTATCAATTTTTCATAATTATTTAAATAATATATAAGAAACGAGTAAACATCTTCTTGACATATTGAAATCATTTCCCTGATTATAGCGCTCTGTATTCAAGACAACCGGTCTGTCAAATGAACCGGTTGTCGGCCGGCTACTGAAATTCATATATTTAAATTTCAAATTCATATATTTAAATTTGAATTATTTAGATAACGGTTACCGGCCGAGTTGGTATATGGAATAAACGCAGCTATAACAAGGGGGGCAATTGCGCTAGCTCTTGCAACTTTTGCATGCAAGTTGTGAGAACGAGAATTAATTTGTCTCCGGCTAATGATCAGATGACCATTAATTAGCAGTAGCAGTCACAGTAACAGTTTGCTACTTGGAAATTGACACACATTTCGGGCATGTTCACTTTGATGCCAAAAAAAATCTTACCAAAATTTTAGTATTACTAAAATTTTGGCATAGTTGCCTTACCAAAATTTTGGCAGGATTTCTTATATAGTTACCAAAATTTGGTAGCAAAATAAATGTAACTACTTTTTTAGTAACTTTACTAAAATTTAATAAGGTTAAAAATGACATCAAAGTGAACGGTCCTCATTTTGGCAAGTGGATGCATGCCCTGCGCACAAACTGATTAAACTAGTTGGTCGCTGGACCATTTCCCACTTCCCCACTATATAGTATACTAGTATACTCCACGAAAGTGATGCGATTTCAATTTTAAAAACCAGACTCCACCCTTTTTGGCTGAATCGTATGGTTTCTAGACGAATCGAACTGGGCTTAGTCAGGGGTTCTTTTTTTTTCCTCCTTTTTCTCTTTTTCTTTTTTCTTGCGTTAGTTGTGTGCATGGGTGGCGCATACGCACCACATGACGTGTTCGTTTCTTGTTTCCTCTCGTGGATAATTCTGAAAATGACGGGAAGATGATGGAATCGCCTCAAATTTGATATATAGTTAGGTCGGAATTGCTGATAAAAAATATATTAAAAGGGCGCTTGATTATCACGAAAGCGATAAGTTCATGCGTTAACGTGCTTCATGTTAAGGGGGAAAACGGCCGGAAGATTGAAAAAATTGCATCTACTACGTTTAATTTATTTATTTTTTGACTACAGGACAAAGCTTCCACCAAATCACAGGAGGATGAGAATTACTCAAAACACCATCTTTTCTAATTACGTGTACAAACTAAATCATTGCATCCGCTTTGAACGGTAAGAAATAAGCCGCGTCAACCATCGACGCATTTATGCAAACGAAATAATTTGACCAACTACGCGTACTGCGCACATACACCACTACACCAGCACTATGGTGTAGTTGTAATGCATACGCATGCCACACGAATAACGAAAATGTGCTTATGGTAAGGGCCAACTACATATTTGCCAATGGTTTGAACCGTTATTGTGAATTTCATTGTAAGAAATGTAATTGCATATTTGCCATAAAAAGGGTCAAAACCCAACATACCTGTCATTGGATTGATAGGTTAGACAAACACCGTTAGATGATGGATTTTCCCAAAAATAGGACAAGAATGCCCTGATGCATGCTGCTGCAGAATGCCTCGGCACCTCCCTGCCGCCTGACACCCCTGCTGCCCCCAGCCACAGTCGCTACTCGCCAAAATCATCTCCACGAGCTCCTCCATTTGTCATCTACTTCAGTGTGACCATTTTTAGGTTGATTCGGAGGAAGTGATGAGGGGATTTGGGATTAGGGTTCTTAGAGAGAGAGAGAGAGAGGGGGGCCCCCGTTCCTCACGATGGAGTGAAGAGCAAAGATTGTGAGAGATGAGCAGCAAGGGGATCAAGGGCAAAATGGTCTTTTCATGTTTATTTCTTTTTTAAGAATTATTTTTGTCGTCTTATTTGCACGAAAATAAATGGTAGTGGCAAACGGAAGCAACACAAATTAAAATCAGTGGTAAATTTACTATTCATGTTTTTTAATGGCTATTTTGAGTTAGAGGGTGAAAGTATTGGTATATTTGTAATTTCCCCTTACAGTAAAGTTACAGGTACACTATTATACTTTTCAACTCTCTCCATGCTAAAAAAATTATTTTAATACTAAATTTTGTCCTAAAATATAGTTATTCATAAAATATACAAGGGATGTTTGCAGTGG